AATAGTTAGATGGATGTAATAAAATCTTAAAAAATAGAAAAAAAAAATTTCTTTTATAAAGATTAATTTTATAAAATGTCTATATAAATTTTAAAAATAGAAGAGAGATATCGATAACTAAAATAAAATTTAATAGAGACCCCTAAATTTTGTTTCGAGATTACGACCTAAGATATTTCTTATTTCTTGAGTTCTTGTTAAGCAGTTAGTTTATTTATCTTAATAACAAAAGGTGATATGTAACACATCATTATTTTTGTATTACATAATTTTTTAAAAAAATTATATAAGTAACTTTAAACAAAATCCTTTCCATTTCGGTAGTAAACCAGGTTTTTTCCCACACGGTGCATAGCTCTTAAAGTACTTTAAAGGGGAAATAAAAGGACAAAATTCCAAAGAGGCAAAATAATTAGGAGATTATTTCATCAAAAATCAATAATTAAGAGATTAAAAGTAAATTTAATAATTCAAATGTTTTTGTGCAGTGATCTAGGTATTAAAGTTCTCAAAAAGTAATTAAATTATGTTTTTTTAATAAAGAAAATATTTTGTTAACAATAAAAAAATACAAAATACAACTTTTAATTACTCTAGATGTTGCATTTGAAACATTTTTTTATATTTCATGTCCTGTCCGTTAGTTTTTTGTTCTAAAAATCCATTTGATTGTATTTTCTTTTATATTATATATATATATATATATATATACCTATATGAAATTGTCTGGTTATCCAAATATATATATTATACACACTCCATGTCCTTACAATGGCCCAAATTTTAAACGTATTTTTCATGATTAATTATTCTATTTGGATGGCTCGCTGGCATGATGGGGAATATTGAAATTAACATAATTTATTTGTTTTTTATTTTTTTATTTTTTGAAATAATAATATGAAAATCATTTTGACTTATAAAATTACCCTTCTCATTGTATTTTGTTTATCATTGATATGCATAGCAAAATGAAATGGAATAAAACTGATAAAAATAAAAAATTAATTTTTTATAATTAAAATTTTCTTTCTACCATTAGATAAAAATTAAAAAGTAAGTATTATAATATCAAATATACTAAATATCATATAATTTCTATTTTGAAATAATGTTAATTTTTAGCCCTTGAGTTTGTCTCAACTAAAGAAGTAAAGCACATTTTTGCTTTCATCTATTCAACTGTGATGTCTAGTATTTTGAATTATAATTTTCTCAAAGAAGTAAAGCACATTTTTGCTTTTCATCTATTCAACTGTGAATGTCTAGTATTTTGAATTATAAATTTTCTCATTTAAAATTTAAAAATGGTGTACTAGGCAACTTGGTATTAAAATATTAACTGTGACTGTTATTAACTTAAAAAATTACAGAAAAAACCTCAAAATAAAAAAAATGACCTACAAAATTATAAATAAGTATTTATAAAAAATTAATATTAATTAGATCCCTAGAATGAGGTCATTTAATTTTCTATAATTTTTAATCTGATTAATGATTAAAGTTCACTTTTTTAATATCAAAGTCCCAATGTACTACTTCCAAAAGTTAAAGACTGAGTGCAACACATGTAAATTTTGATACCAAATGCTCTTGAGATAATAAGTGAAAGGTAAAAATATCTCTTAATCTCGATCATTCAAGTTTAATTTTCATTAATTTTCAAGTTTACATTAATAAGTACACTAGCTATCGATTTGGGCCCTTATTATTATTTAAATTTGAGGTAACATTGTTACAATTTGCTAAATGGGTAACAAAATATTGATGTTAGTAATGCAAATTGAAAGAAAGAAATGTAATTATTTAGCTAGGAAAATATAAACTCTGAAATTTAAAAAAAAAACAAAAAAACACACATGATAATTTAAAAAAAATATAAGAAATTAAATGAATAAAAAATAAATTTGAGTGCCCAAATCAATAATCAAGACAAACTTAAAAGACTAAATTATTATTTAAATTTGAGGTAACATTGTTACAATTTGCCAAATGGGTAACAAATATTGATGTTAGTAATGCAAATTGAAAGAAAGAAATGTAATTATTTAGCTAGGGAAAATATAAACTCTGAAATTTAAAAAAAATAAAAGGACTCACATGATAATTTAAAAAAATATAAAAAATTAAATGAATAAAAAATAAATTTAAAAGACTAAATCAATAATCAAGAAAAACTTAAAAGACTAAAAATTTCCATATTAAAGTTTTTATATGCAAGGAAATGAGTTTCTCATTCATTCATAATTCATTGGATACTCTGTAGTCTGTATGCAACTGATAGAATTTCATTTTTATCCTCCAAAGTAATTCATCACTGACGAGATGAAATTGTCCAAACCAAACGTAATATAGTTTCTGTTGTTTTAAATTTTATGAAATAAATTTTTTTTGTAAAATTTTTAAACTATCTAAAAATTATTTATTTTTAAATTTTAAACTAACGGCAGTACGGCACTAATATCATTATTAAATATAAGTTTTATAATAAGTCACGTGAACTTATTAAATTGAAATAGTGCAACCAATCTCTTATCATACTTTATCACACAATGAATGAGAATGAGAGATGAAAGGCCCGCCTAACTATAATTGTTAAAGGAAAGCTAGTCAAATCTAAATCGAGTTTCTTTATTATTATTATTATTATTATTATGGGAAAGTTAGGTTGAGAAGGCTATTTGGTGCAATAAATCATAAACAAAATAAAGTAAATATAAATAGTTTAGTGCATTTGCTTATCTGTAAAAGATAATTTTAATTAAGCTAAAAAAATTTATAACTAATTTATGACTATCTGAATCAATATTTATAACTGATTTTTTTAAAAAAATTATCATAAATTTATTATTTTGAGACTTTAATGTCATTATCCCAAAAACTTTGCATTATATATGCTTCTTCTACCTGGGCAGTTCTCATATTTAAATCCTGATTTTGCCCTTAGTTTTCAACTTAATGACTTATTTTAACAAGTTATTTGGATTACTTTTTAAAGTGCTTTTTAATTGTTTAAAAATTATATGAGTTAAGCTGAACAAAAATCACTCTTCTAAATAATTTGAAATTTATTTTTTAAAATCCATGTGTGATATAAGAGAGAGAGAGAGTCCCCACCCAATTCTACCAATAAAAAAACATTCAATTTCTCAGTTTATTTGATTACTTTTTTGCCGATTAATAGTAAGTCCTTATCATAAAAAGAAAGAGAATGATACATAACATTTATATTATACATTTTAGTCTTTTTCTTATGTTATTCAAACTATTTGGAAGAAATAATATAAATTATAAAAAAATGAGTAATTAGACTGCAGATATTATAAATATTATATAATTATATGAGCCGATATCCATAACTTTTAATGCTTAAGATTTCTTTATCTCTCATAAATTTTCAATGAATGATTTAGAAAAAAAAAATTCATGATTAGCGTCCTATAACTACCAAAGGTTAAATGCTATACTATTATGTCCTTCTTTATTCTTTTATAACATTAAAGTTAAACTTCAACAATTAAAGGCTCTATAAATAGAGACAATGTATAAAGCATTATGCATCTAAGTGAATAATATATACTCCCCTGTTTCCTCCCGCAAGTCCTCTTGTCTTGCCATTCTCTCTTCCTACTCTCTCTCTCTTTATTTTCATAACAACAGATTTATTTTAGCATGTAATATTAATTAAGATCTATTTATATATCACATCAATTTGTATTTATTTTTAATTATTAAATTGACAATAAATACAGATACAGACATTACTTTTAAAAAAACATGACCCCTCTAGCTTTCTTGGGACCATTGTTCTAAGGCCTCTTCGTCCTCGTATCTTTTTAGCCGTAGTAGACAAATTGTCATGTTCCACCATTATTATTGATGATCGTATTTTGTTCCTGGCCATTGAAGCTGTCTCATTCTAAGAATCCTGCCTTGGACTGGAAATATCGACTTCGCTAATCTTTGTCTTGTCTGTTTTTTAAGATGCTTCCAATATGAATGGATGGAGTTTAACACTATGAGGGATCCAATATTGTCCAAGATTTTGTGCGCATCACTTACTTGATCAATTTTTTGTTTTTGGGTAATACTCGATCAAGTATTTATTATAAGAGTAACCCGTTTAATTAATTTTGTGTTTCTTGATTGTGATTTCTTCTTTTTTTTTCCTTCTTTTAATTAATTCCATGATATACTTGTTATCTTCCATCGTCGTTTAAATTAGATGTCAATTATCTTTAAATGATCTAGTGTCAAGAAGAAAAGGGTTTATTTTATATGGATGTTGCTCTCATAATTTTTTAATCGATTAATCATGTCAATTGTCTAATAACTGTGAAACGCAAAGTTCATAGTTAAGATCTTCCTTTCAGCCAAAAAATGTTCATAGTTAAGATTTAGAGAGATGTGAATAAAAAACCATACCTATATTTGATCAGAATAACACTCATAATTAATGTGTGTTTTTTCAGTGAAGCTCCTCTCCTTTCAATCTTTACACTGTATTTGGCTGACAAAAGAGCCGAGAAAACGATGGGAATAAAATATAAAGAAAGTCAAAAGATGCGAGGAGGCAGAATTAACTGACAATTCTTTGCACATTCTTTTTCTTTTCTTTTTTCTTTTGATATTTATCTGGCATTTTATACATTTATTTGTTAATTTAATACTACGAAGTTAAATGCAAGCACATTCGTTCATAGATTCAATTGAGAGTATCTCTTCTATGCTTCTAATGCATAGTTTCTTATAATGTTTAATTCTTTGCTGACTGAGAATTTAGTAACAGTTGCAACATATTTGGAACTTGTCCAATCCATTTTGAAATTTAAACATTTTTATATATATAAAAAAATAATTAGTGTGAGCATGTCACATGTAATAGTTCATCTTGAGAAGTATTGAAATCTCCAATGAATTACCAAATTTATAACCAAACCGCCCCAAATTAAAAGAAAATGTAGAAGAGAGGAAAGAAATAAAAGTAGAGAAGATTCAAATTTATTAAACCTCCTGAAGTAACATTTCATGTGGAAAGATGCAGGAACTGATTACTTATGCCTAAGACTTTAATTAAGAAGCACTTCAACAAATCACCAGCATTAGCAAAAATTTATGAGTTGAAGAAACTATGAGTCTCCCCCCTTACACAATCTTACCTTTACACCTATTGAATATATATATATATATATATATTAGACCAATAAATCTAGCTTCAGCATTATTTCCCAAGAGTTTAAAAGAATATTACAAGCATTACTTCTCTTTCCCTTCCTAACCAAGCTATCTGGAGTATCCATTGGCCAGAACAGGGATCCTCACCTTGTGCCTTCTGCTTCCTTTCAATAAAACCTCTCCAAAACTATACAGTCCTGTCACTCTACGAACCGTAAGAGTCACGGAAAACTTACGTGATGCGCCTGCTTTGACAGTCATCGCCGGAGGGTTCACTTCGATGGCAACAGCCGGCTCCATTCTGGCAGTGATTACATAGGTTTCTTCCTCGGCAACATTGGTGACAGTCCTGGTGACAGTTTGAGTTCCCACGAGGTGGGCAATTGTAATTGATGGGGTGTTTAAATTGGATGGGTGCCCCATGGTACCGTTACATGGTGAGTGTGTGTATTTCCTTATTTCATTAACATTAATCCCAGGAGTTGAGCACAAGAACCCCAAGTAATCCTTGTATCCTGCAAGATGATGATTAGAAAAATTAGTACAACAGTTCTTTTTTGGATTTACTCTCAAGTTTTTTGGTGTATTAATAAATTTTGTTACATGCCCACTGTTTTTAAAAAATTAGAAAATGGAAAATGAGATAAAGAAGATCCAGATCTTTGCTTAAATATATTGAACTAAATTTATTCTCCCTATGCATCTATTTGACAAAGGTTTTTACGGGTCTATTCCATTTGTCGGTCATGAACTTTTCTGCTATATTTTATCCACTTTCAATTTCATTGCCAAGCATCTTAAAAGATGGGGAGTGGCAAGGGTAAAGCAAACCAGTAGTTTCATGAAACTGTGCCTCAGACATGATGTTCTTAAGTTCTTTCATGTTGACTCTTATGACTACAGTAACCCTCTGGAAACTAGGTTAAAAGAATCCACAGATGTTACCTTATTCTTCATTTCAAGCTAATTAGCCATTTATAAAAGAATTAGACAAATCAAGCAGTTATATTAGGGGGATGAAGAAAGCAAACCTGCATCAAAGATGAGCCCAGGGTCCAGGGCAGCTCTTGGATTTACATGTCCACTCCCATAATCAAATGGAATAGCTTTGACAAACTTCATGGCTTCTGTTTCAGAATACTGCTGTGCTAGGAGAGGCCTTCCTGCTCTGTCCAGAGTATTTGCGGTTGTCATCAACGATGACTTGATGGCTGCTGGGCTCCAATGTGGATGCCTTTGCTTAATAAGGGCAGCTATCCCAGCTATATGTGGTGCAGCCATGCTAGTTCCAGACATCATGGCAAATCCCTCTCCTGCTCAAACCATTTATGGTTTTAGACAAGTCCAATCTATGATATCATCTTTCTTCTGGCTATAGTTCTACCATCCCCCACCATTTGATTATAAGTCTTCCAAAATTGACTAAGAATAAAAGGTAAAATAGGGAACCAAATGATAATTTTAAGGAGTCCAAAACATTTCCATTTATTTTTGTTAGAGCATAAACTACCTGAAATCTTATTTGTTCAAAGAAACTTACATTAAAGCTCAGAACAAAAAAGAACCTCAAACATCACTCTATAAATATTCTCATGGCATATTACTTTTTTCTAGCCAAAAAAGAAAAACTCTCCAACCCATTAGTGCAATGGTTCTTTTGCCTATGCTCTTCTCTTTTACCCCCACCAAGAGGATGCCTTGGACTGATCTATCAACTCAGACAAAATAGAAAAATGAATTCTGTTTCAAGTGGCACATCATCCAGGCAAGCCACAATATTCACGAATAAAAAAGTTAGTGTAATCATTACTGACTTACCAACATAATTAGGCTCATCAGTTCCATTTAAAGACCAAGCAGCCCAAATCAATGAACCAGGAGCTAAAATATCAGGTTTGAGAAGATCTGCATCTCTGAAGCTGAAGTCCCTAATATTTGGCCCTCGAGCTGAGAATAATGCCACCTGTGGCGCAGATTTGTGGAGAATAGGCATTAAACCATCCCCAATGCTACCTGTACCTTTGAAACTCTTCACACGCCCAGTCCAATCTCTTGGTGTAGAGATATTATAATAATCTATAAGTTCCTGAATAATGATTTGCAACCACCAAATCACAAGATAAGTATGATATTTTTGTGATCATAACAGATGCTATTAAGGACTGGAAGAAGACAGAAAAATAAGCACATCGTACTAGGTTATTGGTAAGAGAAAACACAGATGGCAACTGATAGAAGTTGTCATAAATCATTATGGATCAACCTTTAGACACTAACACAAATATGACAGCAAAGTTGACTCAAGTACCTTTGAATTCCCGACGTCTGTGATAAGAATTCCAGGAGTGCTAACAGGAATTGGATCAAATTTTGTTCCAGGAGAAACATTTTCCACGCAAAGAACAAATCCAACTGCACCAAGAGCCTTGGCTGTTTCCGCAACTTTCTTCATCGATGCCGTACCAACAACAAAGTTAAAAGAATAGCCACAAAGAAGAATATTCCCTTCTACCAATTTCTTATTTAAAACTTCTGGTCTCTGGCAATCTGTGGGGCTGTATTTCATAGCTGAAGAATCTAACAGCACATCATTAGCAGCAACCAATGTATATGATCGATTTGCATGGGTTGAAGCTGCACAAAGCCATCAGATATCCTTTAGCAATACAATGACCAAATATCTACGGACAAATACAGACAGCTACTATCTGCCGGCAGCCAAAAAGTGCTTATGCACATAAACATAAATTTTACAGAAGACTAAGACTACCTTAATTCTCCTAACAGTCGATGTATTTACCCTGACAACAAAGCTTTTAAAGTCAAGTGTTAATTTCTTAAAACAATCTATTCAATATATGTTTTACAATTTTGATATCCAGATATTTCATCTATTCTTTTTTACTTCTCTTCGCCACCCCGCCCCCCCTATGGAGGGGGTGATAGTTTAATAATTTCAGTCACTGCAAAGAAAAGATATTTGACATGAATAATTGTTTCTTTCTTTGACATAAATCATTTCGATCTTTCTTTGTAGGGTATAATGACAAGAAACAATTTTCTTGAACATGAAATCAACCACAATCTTCAATGCTGTATTTCATATTACCATTTCCATATTGAGTATAAATTATCGGCAAAAATATGTGGCAAGTTGGTTTACTCACGTGACAACCCAAGTCCAGCCAATATTTTTCCATTTCCAAGGGTCAGATGGTTTTTATATCTACGGTCATCAATTGCTGCTGCTACAGATACTATCCATGGACTGTATGAAACCAAGGTCTTAGGGAAAGGACCACCGTTTCCAGCAGCCTGGGCAACAAATACACCTGCTTTGACAGCTCCAAGAAGCGTAGCATCAAAAGGGTTCAAATATGTGGTTTTGGTGGTTGCTGGAGGACTGTTTGGTCCAACTGAAAGACTGAGTATATCCACCCCATCATGAACGGCCTGTTGACCTCAAACTTAGATAATGAGACATTGAGATTGTGGATCAAACAGATAAGACAAACTGTTAGGCTTTATGTTGACTGCTAAGAATCTATTCGTAAGCAATTCAATGGAATGTTATTCTAGTCTAGAGATCCGGCAAAGCAACTCATAAGACCCCAAAGCCAACAAGTTAACAGCAAATTATAAACAGGAAAGTTGTGTTCTGCACACAACTTCAAAGAATCTCTTTCTTCTATACCCCTACTTCTTACACAAGTTATATGAAGGAACAGGAAAAGTGAATGATCAAGCATGACTCAGATAACTCCTGGCCAAATCCATGACAAATGCTAGGTAAGAAAGCAAGGAAACAAGGAGAAAGAAGATAAGCACATATACATACCTGGTCAATAGCAGCAACTACATCTGCAACAAACCCTCCAAAAAGCCTATAAAGAGCCTTGTATACAGCAATCCTATACACAAATATGCCAAGTGTTTGATGCAGCAAAAGGCTGTATTTCCCAGTTTTAATTCAACCAATAACTTGCCAGATTATCATTCCTCACCTGGCACGGGGAGCCATTCCACTTGCTTTCCCAAATTCATGACCATACATCCTTACAGGAATTCCGTTATTCCCAGCTGCAATAGCCGCAGTGTGACTGCCAGATGTGATGCAAAAAAAGGGAAATGTTATAATAAATAAAAGTGACCGTATTTCAAGATATGGCAATAATAGTTAATCCTATCCACTTCAAAAACCTAAAATGCATGAAATGAAGCAGACTACATATATTTTCATCCCATGAGATAACTCTAACAATCATGATTTGTGCCTTAACATATAATGCTTTTGTTTCATTTGTTCTTATATGTAAAAATAATATCTACAACGGTTAAAAATAGATGATTCACAGCATCTTGTGTGAGGGAAAAAGTTCTTCACTATTCCAAATAATATGATAGTTCATTGAAATGAAATCAGCAAGGATGTTTCTAAGCTCAGAAATTTTCATATTATCATCCAGTGCTTTAAATAGGCAATAAACTTCAAACTAGAGCAACAAAGTGAGTTATTCAAACATAAAGTTAACCTTCATTCACCTAATTCAGGACCAGACAGGAGAATATCCCCAGGCCAGGCATTACACACAATGGCATCTTTACAAATCAAGATAGAAGGAAAAGAATTTTGGAAAAGCCACTGGTATCGAAGTATAGAAGAGTATTTTATCATTAAATTCCTCAAGAAACAAGATGTATTAAGAGTATACCTTCTAAAATCTTCTACTTAAGCAGAAATACAAATTGTTTAAAGATTTTGACAAACTAAGAACACAAATGGCAGGACAGCTTGCCGGCACCAGACTAAGTTTTGACCCATACCAAATGATGGATCCTATACATTTAAAAGAATGGGTTTACCTAAAGATGTCTATTATCATGGCTGTCAACAGCTCATTCCTCAGCAAACAAGTTAATTGACTGGGGGGGGGGGAGCCTAACCTTCCATGACCATCCCCATCCAGAGGAGAAGCAAAATCAATTATAGGGTTAAAAGCCCCTGCAGCTATTGCAGCATGAGCAAAATGCTGTGCTCCAATAATCTTCCCATTACAAAAACTCCTCTTGGTATCTGGATCAACCTCACATTTTCCTCGATATTTTGGAACTGGCCCATATGGGTCGGTATGGTGTGTTGCAAAGCTAGGGTGGTGTGGATAGATACCAGAGTCCACAAATCCTATCACAATATCTTCTCCAGCCCGATCAAAGCCACCGCCTGTAGGCCAAACCCCAGTTGGAAGTCCTAAAAATTCTGGCGTATGTGTTGTAAGTCTCCTTACTTTCCAGTCCCTTTCAACACATTTCACTCCAGGAGCACGTCTTAGAATTTCTGCCTAGTAACATAAGAAGATAGCATGAGAAAAACAAAATGTAGAAATTTATTTCAAGCAAGTGAAAATACTGTTATAACTAGAATAGCAATATAAATAAAGCAAGACTTCACCTGTTCTGGGGAAAGATGAACAGCAAACCCATTTATAAGATGTTGATAGCTATAGAGCTTCTTGTAGGTCCCACGCTCAAACAGCATCCCAAGAAGCATATCATGTTTGTTCTCAAGGTGACGGGCATAAGATGTAACTGATTCACTGGAAAAAGCGTTTAGAAAAAGTGAACAACCGCAACTAATCAATTTCTACTTCATGGTTCAGTGCACACGATAGTAAAGGCGATGTTAAAGAAATCTCATGTAACTGGAGGGGGGAGGTAAAACATACTGCGTTGGTTGGTGTTTTAGCTTTACCCGTACTTTCCTTATCCAGATAAAAGGAAAAAGAAAAGGCAATGGCTTAGGGGACTTGTACCCTATGCAAGACATATAAATGTATCTACATATATGTACTGAGGAGAATAATATATATCAAATCTTCATTGCCGTAAAGGATGCGGAACAGGGGAATTTAGAACAAAATGACTCTAAGAGATCAACCACTTTTTTTTCTTTGGCACAAAACTATATTACGAAAGACAGAAGCAAAATTTAGATTTGTCAATTCACCAGCTTTTCTTTCTCAACAATTAATTCATACGAACTATAGGTTGTGAAAATATATTTGATATGTTCATCTGACCAAGCAATAAACCCAAGCCTCAAAACTCAAAAGGATGTCCCACGGGCCACAGGTCAAGATATATATCAGGAAAAGTAAGACATAGACCACTCCAAAATCTTATATATTAAAAAAAAAACGGAGAAAAAAATAAAGTATTCCTAGTTTTCTGGAAGATGGTCCGTTAAAATCACTATGATCAGAACTTACAGCCTTCTTTTCTTTTTTTGTGCTTGAATTTGGCGGAAAATTAATGAATGTGATTAAATTTTGGCAAATGCCTCAACCCAAAACAAGAAAGGGTGGCTAAAGGTCGAACAAATGCTATTCCTTTATTTCTTAAGAAGTACGAAGAAAGCAGCTGAGAGTAGCCAATACCTAGTGGTATCAATCTTCTCATCGGATTCCACAGCAGTGGCTTCAAAGCCATCGAGATCTCCTTTATAACTTATGACAGGCTCCCCTTCAACAGTTGCTATGTAAATCTCCGCCTTCCCAGAAATCAGAAGTGCTGATAAAATTATACATATGCACCTGAAGTCCGAGAACCTCATGTTCATTGATTGACTGCCAATTTCAACAGTTTTTGAGATCTGTTCCATAATCCAATCATTACCAGTCAAGTATATATCATGGTAATTCGAATCGTAAAATGACAATATGATAATAGTAGTGAGGATATCCGAGTTAAGATTTAAATGTCATAAGTAACAATGGACAAAATATCCGAGAAAACTGCACGCTCTTTTATGAGACTGAGAAGAATGCAACTAGCAATAATTTTTTTTTTTTTTTTACAATATCTCTTGTATGAGACTATGGCAGGAATTATACAGGATAAAATAATGGATTTAATTTGAACCCGAGAAAAGACCATTAAGAGTAGTAAGAGGCTACTAGTTGAGCAGTAGCATTGAAGACACACACAACCAACCAAATACAACTGATCTTCAAACGATCAGACTAGAGAAGAACGGAAAACACCACAATGATCAGTAAATCATAGTTCCGAAGGGAAGCAAATAGCTGGAGAATGCAACCTCTTCAGCAAAGTAAACAGAGGCGTAGAGTGGAGAAAGCGGAAGAAGAGTAAGATTCAAGCCAACAATAGTAGCTCAATTCGCCAAAAAAAGAAAAAGGAAACCGAAATTTTTATATTTACATTTTTAAATGACACCAAAGGCTTTTCTCAAAAACAGCTGGCTTAAAAACTTGAAAACCCATTTGCAGAATTCAGCTCAACTGCTCAAGCAATATCAATCACCAGTTTCAATCTGATCCGGGTAGCTAATACTCGCATCTACTCCGAAAAAAGCACGTGAAGATGAAAATGAACACTACATTATCATTCCAACCATGAGAGAGAAAGAGAGGGGAGGAGAGAGAGACAGAGAGAATAAAGCACTTTTTCGAAGGACCAAGTAAAGAATAGTCGGCAGCAACAAAAGCAGAAGATCGTATCAAAAGGAAAAGGCAAATGCAACCAGACATAGAAGCTTAAACAAATCGAATCAGAGACTTTGACCCGAAGCTTAATTCACATACACGCCAGTAATGATGATCAGAGAAGGGGTCATATAGAGAAACTACACTCGCATTGCCCTGATCGAAGATCTAACGATAACCATTCAATGCCAGAGAACTCCAGGAGCTCAGGTTCCTAGTAAGAGAGCGCAAGAGTGAGTGAGAGTGAAAGATTCTTAGGGTTTTCTTTCAAGTCAAGGAAGTATGGACAAGAAGACGAAGATGGTGGAGGAGGGTGACATATAATAATAATAATAAAGGGAAATAGTAATTAATGAATATCAGTTCTTGAAAGATAAGATGGAATTAATTAAGCAGTGGGAAATTCTTTATTTATTTATTTATTTTTTTTAGGCAATGTGTTAACGACATTTTAATTTAGGCATTTATGATTAGTTATGGTAATTTTCTGAGGCTGGCTTGATTGTAGTGACACGGAGGAAAATACACACAAGGGGTGGAAGATGGGGGACATTCGCGCGCTAGCTGTCGGGCGGTTGATATGGAAAGACGAAAATGCCCTTACTCTTTCATGGATAATCCAATCGGAGACAGATCTGCTCGTTTCTGCCCCAAATCAAACGGAGAGAGCAACGGCCGAAATGGCAAAATATATGGAATAATTTATTTACCCAAGAACATTATAATTGTTTAAATAATTAATATAAAGGTTTATAAAATCGAAATCGATGTTATTATATATAAGTGTGTGAATTGATATATTGATATTATATGATCAAAAAAATTAAATACAGGGGCAGAAACAGCCCTAAAAATGTGGAAGGCCAATTTTTTTTAAAAAAGTGTATATTTAATTTTTAAAAAATAATTTTATTGGTTAAAATATATTATTATATTTCAACAAAAAAGAATAATTACATAAATATTTTAAGAAAATTAAAAAATACAAGACACCATATATCTAATATAATAATTTCAAGAAAAATTTAAATATAATATTTAAAATGCTTATATTATAAATATGTTTTAATTTGTTATTAACAAATAACTAAATATAATATATATTGTTTTTATTGAAATATGCTCCCTCTAGTCATATTCATAAGTTACTCTCTATATGTTTATCAAAATTAAGAAAAATTTTAAATCTCGTTAATTCTATTCAAAAATTCAATAAGCTTTTAATTTTATACCTATTAACTATACATATTTTGAAAATAATAAGACAAAGGGATAAAATAAATACAATAATTATTAAGATGCCCTATATAAATAGGACTAAAATAAATATTTTCTTCCTATCTTATAAATAAGATCAAAGAATTACAAATAAAAGAATAGATGTATGCATATTTTATTATATATATATAATAGCCGTATGTATATTTGTATAACTAGGATGAAGTGTGACTTTGTTTTAACCGAAAAAAAAAATTAAAATATAGACCATATGTTTGCAGTGTTTGAGGGATTGGGGTGGGGCCCCCAAGGACAAATGTGGGTCCACCTTGATTAAATACATACCATGTGCTTCAAAAATATAAAACATTTTTAATTAAATCATATCTTTTAATAAATTAATTAATTATCTATAAATCAATAGTATTTTTTTATATTTATTCTTATTTAATAGGATATCTCTTTTGTTTAAAAATATAGTCGTGAATAAGGATCAAACTTGAAGGTCATATTTAAATAAGAATTTGGGCTTTAGAAATTAATTTTTTTAAAGTATCCGAGCTTAAGGGCCTAGCCCTTATAAGTCATGTAAAAAAAATTAGGCCTAGACAGCCCTTCAAATCTTGATAAGTTAGGTTATTTTATATATATACACATACATATATTTGACTAATAATGATATAATTTGATTAATATTTATTGTAAGTGATGGAGAAGAAGTTACAGAGGTAATTGATATTAAATTTTTACCTCCATCTTCAACAAGTGAACCTACATTTAAAGGATTTAATATTTTATTTTTAGATAATGATAAGGAGGATTTAGATTTACATTGATAAAGATTTTAATCTTCATCTTAAATTTAATATTTGAAATCTTTGTCAATTTTTATATTAAATTTTATGTAAGATTTTAATTTTTTTATCTTAAATTTTAAAATATTTTATTTAAATTAAATGTTGGATTTTTTTAAAAAAGAGGACTTAAGAGTCAAGCCCTGAGCCCTTCTTTAAATAAAAGTTGTGCCTAAATTAAATTATTTGTTTCAGTACATGGATATTAATATAAAAATATTAATGATTCTGTGTATTAGAAATAATTTTTTAAAAGCAATAATTTATCATATCAAAAAAGTAATAATTTATTGAAATTCAAGAAAATACTTTAAGTCTAGGATGTAAAATTATTTTAAAAAAATTAACCGTCAAGCCTAATAAATTAAGGGTGTAAAATATGTGTAAGAAGTGGATGTGAGAAATTAAAGAAAATTCAAAATATCAATCATTTGCAGTTTGGTAAAAAAAAAAAAAAACATTTGCAGTTAGCTAAGATGGTAAAAGTAAGGTGGAGTCAGGCCAAAAAGAAGGGGGAAAAAAACAAGGTGGAGTGTAAATAAAGGTGAATAACTAAAATCCTCCTAATACAATAAAATTAAAAATATTAGTCTTTTAAATTTAACTATTATATTTCTCTAAAATCTTAAATATATTACACACACATGTAAGTGTTGAATTTTAAACATTTGGAATAAGTCAACTCATTGACTTTCATCCATTTAATTCACTAATCCGCTGGACAATAGCGTGTTATGGTGGGTTTGAAAGATGTCATGTGCAATTCTGTTTATAATTTGTACAAATAATGTGACCTCTGAAGTCCATATATTACTTAGAAAAATATTAAATAGAATTCACACTTCAGGGGTCAAAAGGAGAGTTAATTAGACTAATTGATATGAATAATTGTATGTTTAATACATAAAAAATATAACTAGAAAAATTAAAATATATCTAAAAAGAAAATTAGATAAATGCATTTCTCATCTCATTTTTATAAAATCCTTTTTTACTTATTAAACATTGCATAAATGAATTTACATTCCTTCCATTGCAGAATCGCTGCTGTTTTTTTTTTTTGGCCAAAAAAACAGAGAGAGAATAGCTGGTGTTGAATCATTAAATTATTCCCATGATAAATTTTTTTAATTTTATTTATTTATTTATTTGCATACATCAATATATGGCTTCATAGCCCAAAAACATCATAAAGCTATGTCACCCTTTTTTTTTTGACAAAAAGTGGCATACACTTTTTTTATCTGCTCGCACACTAGTATTTAAGGCTTGGTCAAATTAATCTGACTCGACATCTGTTCAAACTATCTTGAGGAGTGAGGTACCTCCCATTGAAAAATTACACAGATGCATATTCTGAGAATCAAATACAAGACCTCAAGTTAAGTTGACTTACTCCTTTTCAAGTGAGCCAAGCACCCCGGTAGTTAAGAAGTGACATACATTAATACATATATAAAGAAACTTTTGCTAAGAGGTTCTAATGGTACAGTGGTTCTTAATTCAAACCTTAATTAAATACCACCATATTTAGGTGAATGTATGGTTTGAATATTCCAAACAAGGATTCTCTCGAAATTATGATCCAGGGTAACAATTGTATTAAAGTATAACAGAAAATATTTATTTTGAATGAAGGCAGTATATTTAAAAAATGAGAACTTTCATGTAACTTCTGAGAAAAGGAAAATTAATATAATTTATTCTTGGATTTATTTTAATTTTACATACTGAAATTGATTGATGTTACTTATTTACAAAAGTAATTGAGTTTGAAAACAAATATAATTTTTTGTTCCTAAAATTACGGTCAATTTAGGTTAAGGTTTCTATAATTTTTATTATGAAATTAATTGATGAACTTGTCGTCTCCAAGAAATATTGACCAAAGTTGATCATAATTTTAAGAATTAGTTCTTTATTTAAAGAACTACGAGAACCTTAATACAAATTGACCATAATTCTTAGGACCAAAAATATATTTTTCATTTACATTTTGTTAGGAATAAATAATAATGTTAGGTTATCCAAATTGGGCCATTGAGGTTGAAGTTTTAGGCACATGTGAGTAAAGTACATTCACAATTTGTTTTGCTATTTTTATGAAACTTTACATAGTACTGAAGTCCTGTTCAAGTTGTGAAATAATTATGAAACAGTTCCACCACCTAATTAATGAAGGAGAATTTGGTTGCCAGTAGGGGCTCACTAATTTTATATTAATAATTTAAAACATTGTATTAATTAATGTACAATTTAGGGGGCACTCTCATTAATATATTCTTCTGTTTTTTTTTTACGAAGATATAAAAAATTTGTGGGCGCTCTTATTATTATTTTTAGGGCAGTAGGCACTGTTCTTATTATCTTATATAAAAAAAAGAATATAAAAGGTTGCAGAATTACTACATTAATGTAGTAATTAAATATTTGGCCAAGGAAAGCTACTAACCAAAGAATTGAAATTTTTACTTTAATTGTCTGAGCTTGTATATTTTAAAATTTTCACTGAAATTTAAGCTTTAGAATATTTAATAGAAACATACTATTTATTTTTTAAATTATTCATAGGTATTTTTTATTGAAAATAATTCTATTTAAGATACAATCAGTGTACTAAAAGTTAGCACCTCTCCCAATGAATATTCGACTATTGATTCATCATATTGTGAGAAGTTAAGCTCTTTTGCAATATCAAACCCCGTTAGGTGAAAAACACATACTTACATAAGTATGAGCCTATAGAACATATAAGTTCAAGTAATGTCTTTTTTTCCTTTAGGAAAATAGCAAGGATCGCTAGAAGAAATTTGTATCAATTACAAATTAGTTATTATGAAAACTTAAATGAAAAATAATATATTAGTCAAGAACTAGTTATTGTCAAAATTTAAATGAAAAACAAGGTTGAATGAACTGTTATTAATTTAAAATGAGTTGTTATTAAAACTCAAATAAATATTTATTGATAAAAAATTAAATTAAATTAATAAATATTTATTTGAGTTTTGACAACAAGTTATCCTTAATTGAAATAAATTTCTTCCAACAATCCTTAATTGATATTTTTTCTTTTTCTTTGGTACCGAGGTTGGTCTTAATGAAAAGCATGAACTAACATTCAGATTAGATTTAGATAATTTATTTTAAAAAATACAATAAAAATAGTAAAATTAAACTTCTTAATTTAATCCAAACCATTTAAATGAAAAAAAGG